GTGTTATGAACTCCTTGGCCTGCTGTATGACCTGATTCGAGACAGTTTATACCTCAGTATATTTCTGAGTGCTAACTATAATGTACAAAGCAGCCTGCTAACTAAACTCACTAGCTTTAGCTGATAACTGAGCAGTCCAACCTGTCGATCAAATATGGTTGTTTCACAGAATAGTTATAAAATGACATGGTTTCATGTATCTACTAATTCTACGTCATTTAAATCTGCAGTGTTTCTAATGCTGGCAGGGCATCCTCGGGTCGCATGAACACTGCAGTCTACGGGAAATGATTGTGTAGGTCTGTGAGCTCAGTAAAGACATTTTTCATTGAATAAAATGTGGAGTCTATGAAGATGTTCAATATGTTCAACTTGAAGAATATGATCTAACGATGTACACAAGCTTGAATAACAAGTTTTAATTCTTACATTTAAAGATGAAACAATTGTGAAAATAGTCACAAATATGGAGGCTGATATTTGCACAGATGCAACGGCAGCTGTAAACATACAGTTTGCTTTGCACTCACTGCATTTTCTGTTTCATGATTATAAATGTAACAATTTACACATAAAGTTCTTTGATCTTTTCACTCAGGACATTTTAATGCAGCACAGAACAACCACCGCATCACACTTTACTTCGAGCACATTTAGAGCCTTTAGTTTTTTTTAATGAAGTAAATAAGTAGAATCAGTACTGTAACTTTTACTGGAGTGTTTTTACTAGTAGTATCTGCACTTCTACTCGAGTACAGACAATCTAAACCACCCTCTGTTTTTTGTTTTGTTTTTTAATTAGGACATATGTGTAGGTTACTTAAAAACCTATTTTTTCCTGTCTCGCTGTAGGTAACATGCGACAATGAGTGATGACAGTTCTGCAGAAACATCAGATGTGTGTAAGTCTATGGACTTCCTCTTCTTCAGTACTGGCTTATTTTACCTTGGCTTGTTCTGTCTCGCTGTGCATCGCTGCACTACTGGGTGAGCACTTATGACTGAGGAGTTGGTGACACTGTGTGAAGGTCTGCTTGTCCCCCCGTCTTCTTCCGCTCTGTTCTGCGGTCCTACACTCTACATCCTCGCTGTCTTCACTGCAGCTGCTCGTGCGGTCACACTGCTCAGCCGGTGTCTGCCTCCAGCTCTCCGCGGCGCACACGCTCGCCAGAGCGCACAAAGAACCCCCCAGGTCCTTCCGAGACAGAGCTGAGAGAAAGCCGAGGGTTTGCAGCGCTGTCAATCTATCTACATCTATACACACACACACACACACACACACACACTACGTGTACATGCATACAGGTGTGTCCAACCTTGGCTTTACGTGTACTGACTGGCAGCTTGTCCAAAGAGACAGTGAGACAGAAGATAAGCTGGTCTTCCAACACCCAAGCAGACTGCAGGAGATCAACATAAGACAATTTTTGTTTAAATAAATAAAATAATATGGACTGAGTTAAACAATCAGTCACAACAGTACGATATCTAACAGCTGCCATCACAGGTA